CACCCAATGGCGTCCGTTGGAACCCTAAGTTGCTTTAGCGGCAACTTTGGACGCAGCGAGCATATTGATGGTTAGGGAAACGCAGAGAAAAAGAGCAGCGAACTTGAGATGGAAGAGGTACAGGTGACAAGAGCAGTAGGTGAAGCTTGCGGAAGTTGCCATAACTTCCGCAGCGTATATCACAAATCGGAGACTCCCTGATCATTGCGAATCACCGCTTCTAACCCTTCATGCGCTCCACCCCTGTGTGCCCCCTCCCTGTCGACACGTGCTTGTCGGAACTCTTCCAGAACTCGAGCGTGACGAACAAGCACCAGATCGACGAAAGCATCAGCAACAGGCACCGAATTCTCGGGCTGACAGCTGGGATGATTCTCTCGATGGCCCCGTCCAATGCAGGACCCGAACTACACTTCGTCGGGACTCTTGGAGGCTGGAGACGCGGGAACGCCCAGCCTGCAATCCTGCATACGTCCCCCAAAGCACCCTGCCAGACATTGAGAAGGCGATGCATGGGCAATAGCGAGCCAATTTGGGGATAAAATATTGATCAAAAAAGCGGGCCGGAGGATGCTTTTGTACTGTTCAGCAAGACTAAAGATGATGATACGAAGACGATTTATGCGAATGAGCGTCCTCCTGTCAACCCTCACATGTTGGTCTTTCGACCGAGCTGGTAAAAAGAAAAAGGTTGCGAACGATCTCTATTACGCTTAACAAGGGGCATTCCAATACCCTTTGCACGCCGTGCCGGCCCAAGCCGAAACCCTGCGACATGAACGGTCGTGTCAGTCGCTGTGGATGCTCGCGTTTTGCCGTGAGGTTTCTCCGTAGTCAGAATCAGCGACGATCGTATTCTTCCGGCGTTGCGGCGCAAAACTTGGGGTTCGCCTGGCTGTGGCACTGCACCGGTAGAAGACATCAACTATGGAAAACAGACTCGAAGGATTGGAGCGTGGAAGATGGTCACGAATACATCGAAGATTTGCCGTATTGTCTCGCAAACCGCCGCTAGCCCTAATCCAGTTCGTCCTCGAGGATCAGGTCATCGCGGTCTGTGTGCCACTGGATGAAGCGGAAGACTTTCCACGTTAACGAAGCTTGACGGATCCCACGTCCCCAAATATAAAAGGGGATGACGAGGAGGAAAGCGGTCGCGGAGATGGCGGCCATCTCTCCGAAGGAATGCAAGTATCCTTCGCTCATAGTCCATTTGTTCGTGTAGAAAGAGAGCAAGAATCCGAGCAGCGACTTGTAGCCCAAGATACAGGTCACGACCTCTTCTGTGATCGGTTTGTACGAGTCGACGGCGTAGACCAGGGCTACGACTGGGCCGGCGACGATGGTCCAATTGGAGACGGCAATGCCCAAGGTGGGAACGATCCAGTGCAGTCGGAAGTGGATGCCTGCGCCGTAGAGGACGAGGCCGAGCGGAGCTGTGAAGATGGACGGGATGATCGCAGGGAGACGCATCTCTGGTTCGCGGATGCCGCCGTTCCTGAGGACGGATCTGTGGCTGATGTAGTCGGCGAGAGGACCCGAGACGAGGCCTAGCAGACTCGCAATGACGCCGGCAAACCAGCAGAGACCTACTTGGAGAGGCCCAAAGTGGTAAGTCATGCCATATGCAAGAGCCACATTGGTGGTGACGGCGACGACGAATCCGACCGACACTGCCCACACGAAGGCAGCCCAGGCTACTGCGGGAAGCATCAGTGCGATCCAGGGTCGGAGGAAGAGGGTGGGCAGACTCTCGGTCGTCCAGATGCCGCTGTAGAGACGCAGGCTTTGGGTCCAAGTGTGCTTTTTGGAAGCATCGAGGTTCCTCTGCTGGGATTTCGTGACGGTCTCCAGAGCAGGTCGGCGGAAGGAGGTCTCAGGGAAGGTGAAGGTGACCAACACGCAGAGGACGGCGACGATGGAGCCGTTGATCCAGTAGATGTACTGCCAAGGATGCTTGTCGATGATTGCGCCGTCGATGATCAAGCCGAACGCGACGCCGACAGACAGGAAGGCATTGTACGCGCCCATTGGCGTCGCCCTCTCGTGGAGGAACCAGATGTCGTTGATTGTGAGAGGACCGAGCATCTCTCCGGCTCCTGCGGCGGCACCCATGATCATGCGAACTGCCAGCTGGGCTCCAAAGGTCTTGCAGCCGCCTGCCGCAAAGCACGTCGCGCAGTAGACGAGGTATGAGAGCACATAGATGGGGCGCTTGCCAAACTTGCTGGTCAGCGGCGACCACCAGAACATGGAGCCACCCAGCATCAGGGAGGCGCACGAGAAGAGGTAGGCAGTTCTGGTGGGTTCGGTTTGGAAAGTCATGCCTGTCTGGATGACTGCGATGCTGGGCCCAGCTGTGGTCAGGTTGGACATGAAGGCCCCCATGCAGACCACGCAGGTCATGTACCACTTGTAGGCTCGGGACCAGTTGAGAGGGTCGTTGATGTCATTGCTGGGGGTCGGCAGTAGGATGATGTCTCCATCAGCGGCCACGTTTTTTACAGTGCCTGCTGTGGCACCGAGAGTGCTGATCTTTTTCACAGCATTGGTACCCGTCGTACGTCCGCCAGTGTCGGAGACAGTGTAGTAAACAGGTGCAAGCTCGGCGGACGGAGAGCCTTCCTTCTCGTCGACGCTGCGATTGGTCGGAGTAACGATCTCTGCCGCCATGTCGTCTGGTCCAGTCTGCACTTCGGAGGTAAAGATGACCTTGAAGATGTCGCACGCTGAGGAGTCGTTCGATCCGATGATCTACAGTGCGTTTCAAGCTTGTGTGACAGGGAGCGCTACCTAGCAGAGCTTTGCGGGAGATCTCGACATGCTACTGGTCGATATATAGGGTGTCCGCCCCCCTCTGATGAGGACAGATGGAACGGCCACTTTCCATAGGCGCGTATCCGGTGTATCGCGGGGAAAGCAAAGCGGGAGGCATGTGCTCACAGCCCCGCATCGTCCGAGCTGCACTTGGTGTGGGGGTAAGGACGACACGTGGCTCTAGGCGTCAAATCCATCGCTTAGGGTGCAGTGTTCCTGACGGAGCTGGAAGGCTGCCGGTGCGATACAGTGAGGGTGCGCGGTCCAACTGAGCTTAGCGGCATCGACGTCTTGCTGTCATCTTCCCGACACGGCTTCTGTGTGAAGTGGATGCTCGGTTGAAGTGGGGTCAGCAAGGGGCCCCGCGTCTACCGCATTTTGGAACAGGTCCAGAACCTGACAGCAGGCTCTCTGCGCTGAAAACATTCGGCCCCCCACTCGACGCGCGTGGAGAGCGGAGATCAGATTCGTTCATAAATTTGCTTTTACTCATCTGGGCTGGCCAGAGCTCGTGAGCAGGCGAAGGTGGGGATGTGCTGTCGACATGATGGTCTGCCTTCAATTAGTCAACGCTCGCAAGAAGGTGACAGACTGCGCTTGCCACGTGATGGTTGGCACCGCAAGTTGTATACTGGCGATTTCGCCAGGATCGGGCGCCATCTTGAACGTCAGAGGCAGCACTCAATCCTGCCCACGGCGACACACTCTGCTTGGCGCGAACGAGCGGTGAAGACGGTTGAGTGGGGAGACAATGTCCCTGTGGCGGTCGTGCGGTCGATTTGTCTGTCATTAGGCCCCTGTTCTCGGAGTGCACGGTTGCACGTAAGGGCCCAATTCGAAGGCGAAGATCATTGGAGGCGGTCAGGAAAGCAGATTGTGCGTTTGCGCGCTCGTCGGAGATATCCGCTTGCGAGACCCTGGGTCTACGGCCGAATGGCGGTCGACATTAGGCATTGCTATGATCATGATCCGGAGCCAAACTTCCATGCAGCATGGCCTTCGCAACTGTGTGCCCACCGTGATTATGCGCCCGCGATGACAATTGGGTGTGCGATGCTGCTCGGCATAGTGGAAGGCATCTGATACTGGCCGTGCCGACATATCCAGAGTGCTCCACCTCGCCCGGAAGGATGAACCACCCCACTCCGGCTTCGAAGAGTTGTTGCTTGCTGCTCAACAAGGTCCTCTCAGATCCCGCCTCGCCATCCGCTGCCTGAATTAATGTACACATCAGCGCCGAGTGCGATATCCTTGCGTGGATCCTTACGCATCTTGGCTCCCCGCAAGTCCGCAGTAGCCATCGACGAGTGCCGCGTTCGGGTATGTAGACAGTTCTGCGGTGACCCCGATCCCCGCCACACCGCCCAGATCCAACTCACTCACCTACGCCTACATGGTCGCCCGGTGACAGAAAACGCCACCGAGTCCGACCCGGGCCATCGGCCCCTAATCTGCCAAAAGCGCGGCGGGGACCTCGCTTTGGACCCTGCCCTACGACTCACGGGCATTGATGCGCTCCACAGACGGTTGATTGTCTGTCACCGACCGAGGGACAATGATTAGAAGAGACCGACTGTCCAAGATACTCCACTACCTGCCGACACTACTCCAACTTGTCCAGAGTCTGACGACTGCTGGACGAGGCGGCTTGCTGCGCCTCGGCCGTCTACGCCGCCTTTGCTGCGGCGTATCTCTCTCGCTGCTTGGCGTTCAATCTCTCTTTGTTCGCCTCGCGGTACTCTCGCTGCTTGGCTTTCAACCTCTCTCTGTTCGCCGCGTAGTACTCTCTCTGCTTCCTGTTGAACTCATCGAGGTTTGCGTGCCGGGCCTCCTTCCTACCTTGTCAACGTCCACCAATTCCCCATCCTGCTTCGCAGCGATGGCTCTGTGCTCAAGGACGTCGACAGAGGCGCACTGCCCAAGCTCGGGCGTCTGCTGCCGTACCTTTCCGAGACGTTGGGAGGCGTGGCCGACGTCGACGTCCAGCGTCCAGAGCCCGGCTTCGACGGCTTCTACGTCTGGCAGAGCTACGACATGCTTTGCATGCAGGCCAAGCAGGGCTACAAGTCGAAGCAGCACTCGTCCAAGGTCTCACCGGCCAAGCGCAAGAAGCACCGGTTGGACTACTCCAAGCAAGCCAGGACGAAGAGGACCGACGAGCAGAAAGCTGCCGATGCGGCCCGGCAGGGCCGCAACTACCACCGGCGCATGGCCAACGAGCCTGCCGACATCAGGGAGGCTCGGCTGAAGAAGCAGCTCAAGTACGCCCCGGCGTACCAGGTCAGCCGGCGCGACGACCCCGAGTTCAAGAGGAGGAAGAGCGAGAACGGCCGGCGATACAGCAAGAAGAACGGCGAGGAGTTGAGGGCCAGAAAGAGGGAGCTCGCTGCCGCCAGAGCCGACGATACCAACCGGCGCGGGTGAGGAAGGCGGACTGGCCGTTCGAGTCGTTGGGCCCACGACGGGGGCAGTTGCGAACGGAGCAGACAAGCGATTGGGCGTCGCTGGTCACGGGAAAACGGGGACTGAGCTCGAATCGCTTTGACCCGGCGGCGGCGGCGGTGCTGTCGTCGTTGTCGTCATCGTCGTCGTTGTC